GCTGATTACAGAACCGGCTTTACTGATAAGATGCGCGTTAAATATCGCATGCGATTTATCGTGCAGCCCTAATTCATACCAACGCAAAACTCTTTTTATACACATTTTGATGAGTAACAAAGATTCTAAACATCAATACCAAGACAAAGCCAAATATACTTTAGCATATATTCAAATTTTTAAAAAAGGGACAAAGCTTTCTGCTTCTTTTAAAGGGAGAGTTTACCTAAAAATGAAATTATTTACTCAGCCTCATGTTTGTTGACTCATGTTGACTGATTTTTTTTTTCTTCTGTGGAGCATAAAAAAAAAAAAGACGTTTTGAAGAATGTTGGTGACCAAACAGTTCCGTTCCCATTGACTTCCATTATACAAGTGGCCAAAAAACAGCATTATTCAACATATTTTTTTGTGTTCTGCATAAGAAAGTCACAAGTCATGCAAGTTTAAAACGACGCGAGGCTGAGCAAATGATGGCAGTGCTGGAGTTACCTGTTGGCGCTCGACGGGGCTGACAGTGGGCGAGATGGTGACAGTGCGGGTGGCGTCCATGTTTTTGGTCAGTGCGAGAGGCTGGTCCATGGCCAGGCTGGGCATGTGGGCATACAGGTGACCACCAACGAGACTCATCGGGGAGGCGCCGATGCGCTCTATGGGGCTGCGGCTGCGATCCCGGGGGTCCTTGCGGTAGTCCCCACTGGCAGACTTGCCTCTGCAAGACAAACAAAGGAGGGATTGTACTGAGGCCCCTGTCCAGCGGCACAAACAAGCAGAGCTATTATTGCTGCATTCAGCGGGCCTGGCAAGAGCGCACACCTCCCGCGAGCAGTCGATGACTCGATAAGAGCGGACTGGACAGAGTCGCCATCGCTTACATTCAAGCGTTTGTTTAGTGCGCAGTAGGGCTGGGCGATATGGTAAAAAAAAATAATAATAATAAATCTTGATTTTATTTTTCAGAACGTTTGACCGAGTCTCGATTTGTAATTACTCAACTTGAAAACATAACTACAAAATGATTCAAGCAACTTTTTCTTTATTAACGCTCTAGTTAAAGAAAATTAAATTCCAAGTGCAGCACACGTGAAGTTGTCAACATGATGTAAATGTTAAACAAATCACTTGTTAAATATCTTTGCAGAAAAGATGCATAAACTACAACTACATATTGTACAAACTTGTCTTATAGATATATGTTCAGAAATAATAAAAGTCAAGGTAATTCAAAATCAAAATGACTGTAGGTATAACACCAGTAGACTATTAACTATAAATGTTCTGTAAAAACAATGAACAGCAGCTTTCAGTCTGTCATCATGATGGAAACATGAAATATCAGACATACAGAAGTAGTTCTTTACAGGTATTTTATTCGATTGCGCTGCTTTTGCTTTGTTTTTCTATGTAAACATGGACGTGTTTGACTGTTGCGCTCGCGTCTCATGCATGACACGGCAGTCTAAAAACACTGCGCTCGAGTTAAAAGAAGTTCACTCCCATTTTTTCCTATTCCACTGCCCACGTTGCATCTTTGTCAACACAAAAGCACAATCTGTGCAAATGGCACCTAACGATTTATAGTCCTTCACACATGAGCGGTTAATCACGTGACATGCGACTGGATCATTCTTTTCTCTTTACTGTTATCACTGGCATATCGTCAAAGTGACTAATTGTAACATTTGGTCATATTTCTATTCCAAATCAACATTCCTCGATTTATATAAAAAATAAAATTGTGGCAAATCATTAAATTCGTTTTAATTGATAAAATCTGAAAAATCACCCAGCCCTAGTGCGGTAGCTACGGCTGCTCCATAATCTCGGCTGTTTTAAAGCAAGTTTTGTTCTACTTCTTCAAATCTCGTCTCCAGCTCTGCATTAGCTCAGATGGCTCGCTACAAAAGGCCCTTTCCCACTACCGACCTCCTTTCCTGTTTTTCTTTTCCCCCTTAAAAGAATAGACACACATGCAGCAAAGCCCAGAAGCGCTATTCCACCCTTCCGGAACGATCGGTCTCCTGTTGCCAGCAGAGCGGAGGCCCAGCGAGGGGCCAAGTGCACTATTCAAAAGGCTTCATCTGTGCTTCACAGGAAGAGAACTTAATACCCTTCACCGGGCACACAAGAGAGCTCTAATCAGGTATTTGAAGGAAATGCTTTCAGCGCAGAATTCGTAACCTCAGTTTGGTGACCGTGCTCCACCTTCGGGGAGGACAAGCACTGGAGATTTGTCGGGTCTCCGTTGTGTGGGCTGCGATCCCTGAAATCGCCCGTTACTTGGCAACGCAATTGGCGAGTGAAGCATCTGCAAGTAAACTGCTACGTCTACAGGAAATTACTGTCCTCACAATAACTAATGGAAAGCTGTGGAGCGAAATCTGTCTTACTGTCAGAAGCTACTCCTTCACAGCCCCTTCCTCCTCAGCGGGATCCGCTTTCACTGTAATACATACGTCGTGTACAGTGTCTTAATTGTCCTCAAGAAGTTGAGATAGCATGCTGACAGCACTACTGTTGACCTGAAAGGTTACACCATGTGACATTAGAAATGTGTCAAACAATGGAAATGCTGCTGTAAATGTGCACAGCTATCAGGAACACTGCTTTGCATTATTACATGAGAGAAAAGAAACGCTGAGCTACTCAAAATAAAACAGGTCACTTAAATTTTTGACTTGTCTTGTAAATATCTTTATGCTCCACAAAACAATTTATAGCAAATTATACAAGGTTACGTTTATCAAATTTTCACAAGAAAATCCAGTCATTTAAATAGGAATCCATGTTACATTCATGTTACTTCATACACTACCACACTATTGCCAAAATGTTGCTGCCGTGAATGCACATCTACACCACAATACAAGGACACAGTTGTGTATAGTGTTGTCAAAAGACCCGGTATTTCGGTACCAAGTCGGAAAAATGTTGTTCAATTAGCATGTTTTTGTGTTTTGCTTTGGTACCGAAATTGGTACCGAGAACCGTGGATTTTCACTGGTATTGGTACTGAATACTGAAATTTTGGTACCGTGACAACACTAGTTGTGTATGGTTTAGGCATCATATTAATAGCAGTAAGGTCATATCTAGGAGGAGCACAATAACATTCAGAAAAACCTGCTGAAAGCCTCTTCACCCAAGATCCTTTGAAAAGAAACAGCAATGAGGCCCTTTGATGAGATCTTTCAGTTCTTGCTGCTCCTCTCTGATGTGAGCTAAATGCTCTGGCAATAATCCACCAGTGCTTTCAAGACTCTTGCTCCGAGAACAAGGCATTTTCCCATTAGATCACGAAGCTTTCGTGTGTTTTGATGAAGCCACGCATCAATCCAAACATCCCAGAACACAGTCAAAACGTACGATACAGGAATAAACATAGAAAAACAGAAGCAAACGCTTCCATCACTTTTATATGACTTTAGCATGTCCCCTTAAATGCCAAAAGCCAACGGTTATCTTTTACGCTTACTTCCAAAAAGTCTGCTCCAAACTCCACTGAAGTGATGTGAACTCTGCTAGACTCACTTCAGTCACAGATGCAGGCCAATAAAACCGGGGACATTTTCTCATAATTGCATTTCACAGCCGTGCGGGAAAACCTCACGATTCCACCACAGATCCTGGCAGGAAGATGTCTCTCTTATTTCTTCTTTAAGTCACTGGAAGCTCGCCCACAAAGATACAGGAAACATCTGGGAGAAATCAAGGCGAGGAAGGCAGAACCACAGGATACAAACAGTGCGTTCTCTGGAAATGTTCACGATTAGCCATATTTCTAGCATTCTTATTACAAATCAGCCAACAAGCTTTATTAATAGCACAATACTGTTTAACTACTGTTACACTTATATTTCTTAATGAATTCATTAACTTCCCATTTGTAAATATTAAATGTAGTTACTGAAGCAACTAGAACATTTTGGCACGTTGCTTATTTTTGGCTCAGGTTTTAAAACAAGCAGCCAAAAAGGTAAAAGGCAGTTTGAGAGTTGGATCCATAAGCACTGTGTGTAATGGGTTCAAAGCGCCTGGCTAACTTCAGACTTCACTGCTTTGACAAATTATAATCCAAACACCAATAAGCCAGTCATGTGTGTGTTTATATATAAAAGTTAGGAGAAAAACACTATTTTATAAACCCTAACCACGCTGGCACGGCCTGCGTATGACTCTCCGTTTGGCTGGCAACGGATGCATGAGAAAGACGGAGTCTCCCGAGTTCCCAGCAGGAACACAAGCTGCCGTCGATCGTTCGCTCTGAAATACACTTTCTACAGGAACACATTCATAAAACCCCTTGACGCTGGGTGAAATCTAGGTGAACGCATGAATCAAGCCTGTTGCATTTCTGATCTGCAAAACTTTAAAAGAAAGATCAGTCATTTAGTACACAAGAGGGACTCTTATTTTGCTGTACACGTCGACAGTGGGGCGTCTCCGGTGGGACAGAACGCAGTGGGCTGACCGGATAAGAGGCCCTTTGTTTTCATGGCAGCAGTGAAAACCAGAAAATGGCCCCCACCCTGACACGTAGCCCACTCCACAACAATGTCTCCCTGAGTTTCCAGTTGTTCTAGCCTTAGGAGGAGGCTTGTATCACCGTTTAGTCTGGCAAAGACGACCAGAATAAAACCGTACAATAGCTTAACATGTGGACAAACTCCTTTCAGATCAAAAACAAGCTTAACAAGAAACATAACTGTAAACAGTCTCTGTGCACTTCTAACAACAAAACAACAGCAGAAGATTATAGTGAGGAGAGGCACAGGAAGAGAGGTTTCCCAGCCCCCACTGCTTCATTCCCTTCTATAGAGAAACACCCTCATGGAAACCTGAGCCGCGGTGTCCGGTGACAGCCGCAAACTCCCAACAAAAACAGTCAAGAGCGCCTCATTCACCTCCACCCGATGAAAATCACATGTCCTGGAGCAATACAGAGGCACACCAACAACTCCGTCCTCAGAGTTCAAATGTAAATGTACTCCTGCTCTTCAAAAACAAGGAAACATTTGGCAAAAACTTTCCCGAAACTCCAAGCCTGTGTGCACTAAGAGTTTTAAAGGTTAAAAAAAAGAGAGAGATAAAATGCGGTATAAAAAACATCAACACAAACCAATGTCTTCTGTGTGACCACTGCTTCAGCTTTAACCATTTTTTTTAGTATTTATGTTTGAAAATGCCAAAATGTAAAAGTAATTTTTATTTATACTCTAATTGTAAACAATTATATTCTACATGTTTGTTTCTGCTGAGGTCTATAATGATTAGTAATTTAATAGTTTATCAGTAATTCTAAAAACAAGTGTGAACTCAACGATACAACTGCTCACACAATCCAATCCATTTGCACTAAACAAACATTTAGAAATTGCATTTAAAAAAAACTACTGAGCTAAAGCACATTCTGTACGTCAACTAGCAAAATGGTGCATGAAGGGGATCTGGTGTTGGTAAACTCAGAAGAGATGGTGCAAAACAAGTGCTAGCGGAGTGTAAGTTGTGAAAAGGGCACGTGCTGTTATGAAACTACAATCTGCTGCAGAGCAGTTCAGATCCTGCTAGTGCTAAACCTTTCAACTGGCAACAAGCTCTGACGGGTTGCCAAGATGAGGATGAGGATCAAATAGTGTTTATGTATCTGAGAGCGAGAGCATTGCAAAAGTAAATCCGTTCAAAGTTTAAAACAGCCCGTGCTGTTAAAGGAGCGCACACTGATGTCAAAGCCCTGAACACAGATCAAATCAAGCTTGTTGTGCTGAGAAGCCCCTTCTGTTGTTCACACTGGCTCCTGCACTGGTCCTAATTTACCAAGCAAACTGCGGGTCATAAATTAGCCCGGGCTGCTCTGCCTCGCACCAGTGTGACTTTTCCTTGCTGAACAGCAGATCTGGTGTCCTGCGACTGAGCGCCGTGCTTCATACCGGGGCTGGAATGCAGGGAATGCTCTGCCACGAGGGCATGGCCCATGTGCTCCGGCTCCGACTGCCAGAATCTCAGGAATTCCAGCCCTCGCTCTTCAGCACATTCCCAAGCATTCCCCACATTCTTTCTGCAGGAACACCGCCCGCACGGCTGAGTACGAGGCTTTCTAAAAAGCACCTGCCTGCCAAAGATTCGCTGGAGACGACACAAGCTGTGAGTGCCTGTCAGTGCATCAGATGCATCCAAAACCAGACACGTGATGTTAATCGGATCCACTTACAACTGTGCGGCAAACAGCCGGCTCATCTTGGCCACATGCTCGCTGTTACAGTCAATGCTGTCGTCTGCTTGGTCCCCGCTGTGCTTCCTCTTGCTGGGGCTGATGGGAGGAGGGCCCGTCCTGTGATTGCTGACTGCAGAGGACAGGGACAGGGCCGGCATTCTGGACTCGCCTCTCAGAGCAGCCTCACCTACAGCAAACACAAGAGAGCGGTATTAACACAGACGAGCACTATCAGCCGCTTCAGGAGAGTGTGCTTTTACAGGCTGTGTGAGAAGTGAACTGCATGATTTAGAAAGTGATCAAGCCATCATCTGAAATACAAAAACAGCAGATCTGCTGAACTGATGGCATAATGAATCGAGTGAGCAGTCAAGAATCGACTCCACACACTAGGGCTGCACGATTATGACAAAAATCATAATTGTCGATTATTCCCTTGAAATTGTAATTGCGATTATTAATTATGATTATCACAATTTACATTGAATGATGGTTATACCATTGTTTGATGCAACTGCATGCCGCATTTTTATATGAAAATAAACAAGCTGAAAACACTAACTGAAAAACCTTTAGTGCTTTTCTATAGTATTAAGCCTCAAATGTCAAATATACTTCGGATTAGTTTCTTCTTTAAATTATAAAAAAAAGTACAAATATAAACGGTATTATAATGTTATACTAAAACTAGAAAATGGAAAACCCTTAAGATAACATGTAGAAAGAAAAAAACATCTAAAGCGTGCAGAATAACATAACTTTGAACGATTAATTGCCGCTTTGAATGATTATGTAATTGTGGCATCTGTAATTGTAATCACAATTAGAAATTTGATTAATTGTGCAGCCCTAACACACACACACACACACACACAAATCAAATACAAAGCTCAAAAGAATAGAACAGGACACAGAAGTGAACATATTTGCTGCACATCTGTCTTGTAAACAACACTTTGTGTTTAATAAAAAAATAAAATCTGCTTCTGATACTTTCTAAATATGTTGCTTACAGTTTCTATTTTCATTTCAACAGTTTTCATTTAGCCAGGTTTCACTTTCATTTCTACCAACAAGCTTACCATTGGATAGTGTATAATTTCTGTCTTCAGAAGTCAGCTGGAGTGAATATTGTCTAAAGAATGTGTCCATGTATCAAATATGTGCTGAGAACTCTCCCCTAATAAAGATAATCCACAATTTATATCATTTAAAAACACAAGTAAACATCCATGGATTTTGCCGTCTCACTCATTTGGTGCTGCTGCCTGACTGGTTTTAAGTGAATTGCACTGAATTACAGCATATACATTGAAGATATTATAATATATATATGCTGTAATATATACCTTCAGCTCTCACGATATCAGTACTGGCCATGAAAACCCACACCAGTCGACCACTGCATTATATTACACATGAAAGCTCCTCATCAATACAGGCCACTTCTTTGATCTTGATATTCAGAACATAAAACCATCATATCACAGAGAGAAGAATGGCAGCAATCACAATAAACTCACTCATCAGCCCTTCCTATTACTTTCTTCTCTTTTAAGAACACTTGACTGGTATCTTGCCTCCACATCAGAGCAGAAAAAGCATTAGACTGATGCAGGAAAGCATTTCAAACATATAAGGCACTGACTGAATTGATACACAGGCACGGCAAAGTCTCAATACTTGCATTGTAAACGCAATCAATCTCTGCCTTTGATTTGCAATCAAACGAGTCGCTAGAATCTGCAGAAGTAATGCACTGAAGCGTCATTACGACACAGTGCTGTAAGATTCCTCTCAGTACAGTACAAGGGCACTCGGTGCATTTACAGGCGCTGTGTAGGAGTTAGGCCGGAAAATTACAACTGGCACGCTCTCTCCAATGGGACTTTCCACTTGGGAGGAGGTTAACTAAGCCTGAGAAACTTTATAAGATCCATTTATTGAGCCAGACCTGGATTTCTGCACTGGTGCAGTTATTTACAGAATTAAATGATAAATAGAGATGGTAAAAAATAACCGGGCCAGGTGTCTCTCCCACACTCGAGCCTCATAAAATAAGCCATGCACACATTTACTCGACTTCAGCCTGAAGTAAAGCAATGATAGAGCTTACGAGGTACTTCCCAAAACAAGCGGCCTATTTTCCAGACTGGCATGTTTCGGCTCGTCTGACCGCGCTCCATGGCAACGGCGATGACATCAGTTTGTGGCAGGGCTGGAGCTGCTAATAGAGAAAAGGCTGCGGCGCACAGTAAACGTCCACACGATAGCCTATCTGTGATAGTCTCCAGAGAGCCATGAAGAGATGCGGGCTGAAAGTTATTGGCCATTCATTCGTTATCAGTGAGGAATCGTGTACAGAGACAGGTGTCGAATGCAGTGTTTCCAAGAGAAACAGTGACACTACACTCTTCCTGATCAACTCATTCAGCTCAAATGAGCTCAGACTCCAGGACCTGAAACAGACGGGTCAGATAAGACAAACAAAATGTGAACTGCTGGAGTGCATTCAGGAACAGGGTTGTGAAACGACAGTATGCTTTTAACAAACATTACCAGGGCAAGGTGTTGTCAAAAGCAATATTTGACCAGGATTGGTTTCCTAAATGAGAAATTAATAGGTTTAGATTAGGGATTCTCATTTTAACCGGTTAACCATTAACCAACAGTAAGAATTTTGGCCATCAGTTAAACGGTTTAAAAAGTATTTCCAGTTATTAATCAAAATAGTTCAAAACGTTTGCTGCATGGTTAAAATACGCTAAGCTTAGAGACCAATAAAATAAAATTGCGTTTTTTGAGAAAAAAAAAAAAAAAAAAACACGTCGCGTAGCCTAGGTCACATTTTATTATTTCATTCAGAAATAGGCCTTATGCCGACGTGAAATGTTTACAAACATTATAAACATATAGGCTAGACTATTTTAGTTCCCCTAACTCCACAGCAAATATTTTAAATTTAACAGTAGCCTATTCAGAAAAGAACAAGAATTAAAAATGTAAGAAGCTATAGCTATATAGGACAAGCCAAAACAAATTCATTTAGGCTAAAACGAAACTGAAACCAATGTTGGGTCTCACATTCGACATTGCCTGCGCAATCACTTGGGAATTTTTTCATTCTGACAATGGAAACAACTACTCCTTCTAGTCATACAGATAATCGAAACTGTAAAAGGTTTGCTTTTATGTGTACATTCACAATAAAAAAATCTTTGTGCTTCTATAAAATAAAGAAAAATAAGATTCCGCTAGGGCTACACGATAAATCGAAATGAAATTGAAATCGCGATTAGACAGAAGCTGCGATTGTCATGCGTATCTTTCAGTGAAGCACGGTTCTGTGATCTAAATCTCCATCCAAAGGCCAGAGAAACTCCAAATACGCCCCGCAGAAGAAATCAGGAAATCCCTAATAGCGGTTGCTGAATAAACTGAGGATTTAAATGCTTTCATCGATTCAACGTGACTAATAAACACACGACTATGGCAATATATGGTTTATCTGAGTTCTTATTATTATCATTTTCATTATAATAAAGTATATCTATAATGCAATGCTAATCGACATAGCCTTTATCACTGCTTAGAATACTATGAAATATTGCATGCCTTATTCTGTGTAAGAAGCCACATCATCTCACAGAAGGATTTATTTCAAACACTCGACTGACGTTATGAAGTGAGTTTGGAGTAAAAACATGTTATTAAATGTGGTGTTTTCACGTGCTTTCAGATGGAGCAGCATTTACTACACAGAGCCGTAGTTCACTGAGAAGCTACGCAAACAGCTGTCATTATCGTGAACGATTTAATAATCGTACGATAATATCGTCTGCAATTTTTTAGCGTAGCTTGTCAGATAACTACGGCACTGTGTAGTAAATGCTGCTCCATCTGAAAGCAGGTGATGGAGATTTACTACTAATCACAGAACCGGCTTTACTGACAAGATGTGCACGACAATCACATTCGGTTAATCGTGCAGCCCTAGATGCTGCTTTCTGCCGTCTTGGTTTCCTTTTGCGCATGCACCACAAAAATGCATGAACCAAAACTCTGCATACTAGACTAGCCTACGACGACGCTGCAGTGGCACGATCGGGCAAGTGACAAATCGTCTACTGTCCCGAACGTCTTTCACGCCGGCCTCCGGCCATCGGGCAGTCCTTATTGTCGAGCCCTGATGATGTGATTAGAGGAAGTCTTCAGTATTTACAGGTGAAAGCTGATGACTTCACTGCCATCCAATTTAACCTACATCAATGAGGAGAAAAAGGAGTACACAAGAACAGTGATCCAAAAATGGCTTTGAAACCTGAGAAACAATTACTGTCCAAATAGTGCTTGAGTTACATTTATCAACTGTCATTCAACGCACTGATGTGTCTGCAGTTACTAGTTACAAAGGTGGGAGTGTCTGTTCTGCACTATAAAGTGAAAACGCTGTAACGTCATTAATACTGAAAATGGCTTCAAACAGAGTCAAGTCACCTTTATTAATATAGCGCTTTTAACAATACAGATTGTGTCAAAGCAGCTTTACAGTATTATAGGACATTTCCACACTAAATCTGACCACTGTAGAGCCAAATCAATCTATTTTGCCACTGCATGGCAGCATTGCCAGATGCATAAGGCCTTAATGCTGACCAAAACTATATGTTAAACTGTAATGTATTTCTGTGATGCGCAGCTGTATTTTCAGCATCATTACTCCAGTCTTCAGTGTCACATGATCTTCAGAAACACTCTAATATGCTGATTTGCTGCTCAATAAACATTTCTGATTATCATCAAGCTGCTCAAGAAACATTTCTGATTATTATCAATGTTGAAAACAGCTGTGCTGCACAATATTTTTGTGGAAACTGTGATATTTTGTAAATAGAATGTTTAAAAGATCAACATTTATTTGAAATAGAAATCTTTTGCAACATTATCAGTGTTTCTACTTTGACTTTTGATAAATTTTATGTCTCCTGGCTAGATAAAATAATTTATTATTAGTTTTTTAATAATAATAATAATAATAATAATCTGATGCCAAATGTATCACCTAAGAATGGCATACACATAATGCTTGTGATTTGGTGAAATGCAAAGACTGTATGCAATCTCTCAATCATTACAAATGTCAAATAGATTCATGTAGTAAGCAGCTAGTGTTTCTGTATTTGACTGGTCGAAAATCAAATCAGGGAAAAGGCTTGTAGTTATTAAAAAAAAAGCACAGAAGCTCCCTTCACACAGATATTTAGGAAAATTTCTGGGAGAGCTGCATGCTTTTGTTCATTCATACTGCCATGGTTTTCCCATGTTCAGCATTTCATTCACACACACAGGCAGGTCTGTGAGATCATGTACTACAGATACTTAGACTGCACTGTCCTCCTGTAAATAATTGCATCACAGCACAGATAAACTTACAGTTCATTTTGTCTTCATACGTAAAAAAATTTTCTCCTTCTCCTGGCCAAATAGCCACACAATAACTATCACCATTTACACATACTTGTTGTGATCAATCGCAGAATTTTTCATTTTTCCAGCACTTCGGCTTCAGTTTGTGTTCACATGGAAGAACCAAAGACCAGAGTGAATGTAGCTAGACATTCCTGACTCCAGACGTCTCGGAGGACGCTTACGTTAATTGTTTTGCTCTAAAGTTAGATTGCGAGAAGTGCTCAACTCAAAGGGGACTGAAATCAAAGTTAGTTTATGAAACACTAATTGACCCATCTTCCTCAGGGAAAACGTATCTCTGGCATGACTTTCTCTCAGCAGAACTTCTGCTTGACACACAGACACCATTCACATATGAACACCTGAAGAAAAGACATCAACTGGAGAACGACGCTTCCTTCAGCCTACTTGTTGAATTTCACACTTCAGCGAGTCTGTGTTTTCTTGGACGTTTAAAGTGTGTTAAAACCTCACAGCAACCTTTGTTGGGAACTGCAGGAGCCATAAAAGATGACTATCAGCGTTAGAAGAGATCTAGCCAATGTTTGATCTGTTGAAAGAGTGTCATTATGAGCGTAAGTGATCAAAGTCTGCCCCTACTACTGGAGACTTCAAACGTCAAGCCAGAACGGGATTGCGTTACAGATGTGAGCCCACCTACATTCACAGAACATCAAAATAACACACAACCTCTGATGCAAATGACACTTTTGCAACTTCTTGGCAAACATGCAGTAAAAGAAACAAATCTCTAATTTCATACTTGCAGAACAATGGCCTCTTTGCTTTAGCGTCTGAAATCTGATCTTCTGTGAGCAGCAGACAGCATGTCCCTCATGCACACAGAGAGGGAACTCTGTCTCTCTTCAAGCAGAGAGGCGACTGAGCTGCACAGGTATGGCTTCAGCGGGGGTCTTATCTTTCTGTTGCCAGCAGCTGTTTTTAGCCTTTGTTCAGCAGGAAAGATGACAGTCAGTGCTTCAGGCCTGCTTCAATTTGAGCTCAGCTGGTGAGCAGAAGAGCGGAGCAGGCCACGCTTTCCTCCTGAACACGCCTGATACCCGCAATCACGCAACGAAACCCAAATGATAGTCAGTCAATGGCATGGTAGAAATCTTCTTCAGGCGAGGTCTACTATTGAGATTACTGGTAATATTGCACTATTATAAGAAGTGCTTATTTCCCCTAGTGTCAGTGGATAAACATTTCTGTTTTCACATTGTCAAGTCAACATGGTGTACAATAAACTTCTAAAATTCATCCAATTCCCACAAGACAGCATTTTATCAACTAAGTTTTATAGTCTTCTCAGCGCATGGTAAAAGAGTCCTCAAAATCATCTTTGGTGTGAAGAACAATGAACAAAGATAAGAAAGCTCGTCTGCGACCTTTGAAAGGCGGCGTTCATTCAGTTCCTGATAAAGCGTAAAGTTCAGCAGAGCGAGGTCTTTCACCGAAGCACCGCGCCGTGCACGTTCTGACCCGAAGAAGTGATGCAGAAACAGAGCTATTTTAAGGAATGATGCTCGGCTCGCAGAAGCTGTAATAGATTAGCCATGTGCTCAGGAAATTCTCTGGCACGCATTATAAACAGCTGAAGTGGCAGCCGTGCAACAGCGAGCAAAAACCGGCTGTGATTGTGTATTTCCATCCACTGTCACCGGGTCACATGACTGGCTGCTGGAGAGCGTTCCAGCGGGTCAAAGCAGCCTGACATCCGCTCGAGGAGAGACACGCCAGTCACACACACATGCACGGCTGCTGCAGTTTCTCCACACACTGTTTCGAAGAGTTATCTGGAAACACAGAGGAGTCACTGGCCAAGAAGACGTAACCTTCGGCGTCACTCACAGGCATAAACAGAGGGAGTATCGTCATCACAGGTTATGAAGCAAAAACATCAGAATACCACAAAAAAAACAACACAACACAAGTTGGGCCTAAAACTAAAACTGCAGTGGAGGCTGATGTTAATCACTCTGAAAGACCAAAAACAGATTGAGACGTTCAGCAATTCGCCAACCTGCATCTTTTTACAGAACAAACTATAATCATAGAGTAAATGTCATTTAGCAAATCACAACTCTGCTTTAAAAGTCAGATGAAAAAGAGCTCTTCATATATCACGGCCGGGTCTACAGGAGGCCTGTATCGCATTTCTGCTCTCTTGACACGTGACGGCCGACGACAGGAGGCTGATGCAGAACAATTTATCTGTTTTCTACTCAATCCAGAGCTCTGCCACAGCATATGACGCTCGAGATCGCAGCCTTTTACAGAACAAACTATAATCATAGAGTAAATGTCATTTAGCAAATCACAACTCTGCTTTAAAAGTCAGATGAAAAAGAGCTCTTCATATATCACGGCCGGGTCTACAGGAGGCCTGTATCGCATTTCTGCTCTCTTGACACGTGACGGCCGACGACAGGAGGCTGATGCAGAACAATTTATCAATTTATCCAGAGCTCTGCCACAGCATATGACGCTCGAGATCGCAGCCAAACACAATGAAGCACAATACTGAGGCTTCATAAGGTCAGGCACAACAGAGAGAAGCGCAGCACATAAACACACATTTCTCATGCACACTTCTGAAAGCATGTGCTGCAGCTGCTTCAAATAATACTACCACTTAAGTATATCTAATATGATTAAAATGAACTTTCCTGAATGTAATATTTTTAAAACTATTTTTGACACTCGTTCTGCACTTTACAACTTTTAATTCACATACAAGTAAATATAAAGGCAGAAATATTAACATTGTTAAAAACAATCTCAATGAATCAGTGTTTATCGTCGGTTCTGTAACTGAATAGTTCAGATGCAAAAGCCTCTAAGTGCCATTTGAAATATTCTTCTAAGATGAGCATTTTTCTCAGGCTCCTGTGTGTATGAATGAATATTGCCATTAAAGTGTAATTACTGAACCTACACACAGGAGCCTGAGAAAAATAACGTTACTCATCTGAACTCTTAAATTGTTTACCATTTTTTTAAGGGTTTAACCATTTTAAACACTTTTAGCCTTCACTAGTCTATTTAAACATTACGAAAACTCCGTATATTCCCTCATTAATGAGCTCTTAGAAACAGAACGCATAATTACAGCTAAACGCGGGGTTTAGCATGTCATCCAGTAGTACACAAAAACTGTACAGAAGCTAGCGACAACACTTTTCTCTCTCAAGCTGTAACATGATTACGCAGAACTTCAGTCATTATTCTGAAACTAGTCATTTTAAGTAAACCTCTACGTTAGAAGTAAACTAATCGAGAGGATCGCCGCGCGATGACGTCACTGGCGTCCGTTATTTTCACCGACAACTATCTCATTTCTTTAATTCAAGAGCGAGAAAGTAAGAGTTTGTTTTTTACCTTCGTAGCACAGGATGCCAATGTTGTTGTTCATCTTGTCCAAGTACTGGTAGTTCAACAGGTCCATTTTGGTAAAAAGCATTTATGGACTTTTAATCGCAGAAAGAGCGGCTTCTCTTTTTCTCTCGTCAGGAGCGCGAGTAAAGGCCCAGCCTTCAACTTAAAACAGAGCGAAAATAACTAGTTTAACCCGACCTCCTCGAGAACCAAGCGAGTAGAAGTACTCGAGCGCGAGTTTAAAGAAACTTTAAGAAGTTTTAGCGTATGAAAAGAGTTGTATTTAGGGACAAAAGGGTGGCGCCAGTTCTCCTCACAGCCCCGCTGTAAGTCGACTGCACTGACACGCAGCCAGTGAGCGCTCGGAGTCCAGCGCGCCGCCTCACGCCAAATCCCGCGAGACTTCCCCTCACAAACGCACGCGAAATCCCGCGAGAGTTCCCCCTCCCAAACGCATGGGAATCGATGCTTGTAATGAGGAGAGAAGAACATGTCCAAAACAACGAGAAGTTAACTAAGTTTGCAGAGACGTTTGAACTTTCTGGAAACAGCTAATGACCACTAATTATACTGCATTCTATACGAGTTCCAAATGTTAAATACGAAAAACCATATTTACTATTATCATAATAGTAATGATTACAATAATATTTTACAACAATTAACATCGTCTTGTTGTCATTTGAAATGATACTGAGATCTGAGACACTTTTACTATTTTACTTGAGATAATAATAATATAATATAATATAATAGTATTATCTCAGGTGAACTAGTAAAAGTGTCCCAGATCTGCGCGGGACAATGTATCCTGGTTAGATATAGTCAAACATTTCCTAAAAGTGACTCTTTAGGGATCCACTCTTACATTTTAAATAAACAATATTGTCATTTTAAGGCACATTTTGGTACTATACAGTGATAAATATGCTATTGACAAGAATAAAAGCAACATATTATTATTAGTACTACTACTACTTTTAAACAACAAAACATTCTTTAATGTACTATTAATCTACAGAGCTAATGCTAACTACTGTGATTGGTAGTGACACTCTGCTGCCCTCTGCTGGTGTCCACATCCAGCTCTGTGTGTGTGTGTGTGAGAGAGAGAGAGACTGTGTGTGTGAGTGTGCGTGTGTGTGTGTGAGCGTGTGTGTAGTGTGTGTGTGTGAGTAGAGGAAGAGGAACTGGCTTTTATAAGGCCAGATTAGTTAAACTGAGCTGAAAACAGAAGCTAAGCAGCTAAACTCACAGTTAAACCGGACTGGTGCTAAATGAGTAAAACCTAGACAGTGCTGTAGTCAGTTCAATTCGTTATCAGAATAATAACCATATCATGCTCAAAGGGGGAAACTATGGCTCCTGTTTCTTTGTTCTTAAACTAGCCTTCAAACAGCAAACCAATCACACAAAGATATATTTGTGCTATTTGTCATTTGTTGTGATAAACAGGAAAGTGTGTCCAGCTGAATTCAATGTGAGTTTTGTTAAACGAATAAAAAGAAGCTTAGTTTACCGTGGAAGCGGTCGCGGCTCGTGGTAAGACTGAAGAGTGTAAAGACCATCGGACTTAAATGATTTTAGCAAATCGCTGCAATATAACAAAGAGTGAAAAATTGAAGGGGGTCTGAATACTTTCCGTACCCACTGTATATTGGATGTATTTATATATATGTACATGTATATATATATGTGTGTGGTTGTACATACACATATGTAGTTGTTTTTTGGTGTTTGGTTTAGTGTTATGTTAGAATCATTATTATACTCATACCTTTTGTTCTCTTTTTCTTATTTGTAAGTCGCTTTGGATAAAAGCGTCTGCTAAATGACTAAAAGTAAAAAGTAAAAGTATTATATACACCATTACGGTGTTCGTTAATATTTTGTATTAGCTTTCATTCTTATATTTTCAGCTTTGATTTTAATTGCAGTTTAAGTATTAAAGGGGTCATATGATGCTGCTAAAAAAGAACAGAGGTGTTTTAGGAGGGCGTGGACCAGTCTTAACTTTTATAAAGAATATCTCTTTGGGTTTCAGACTTTAGTCTCTGCAACTTTAGGGATCTTATCTATTCACGAACAGCTTGTAACACTCCAAAGAGAAAGGAAAACACAAATCGCATCATATGACCCCTTTAATACTTATAAAGCACATAATGTAATATTCTGCATGAGCATATTTTAGATCCCTTCATCCACCGCATACATAACTTAACTACTACCTTAACTATTAATAAGCAGCAACTTAGGAGTTTAATAAAGTAAAAATCGTAGTTAATAGTTATTAGTGAAAATTGGTCCCCAAACTAAAGTGTGACCAGACCAGATGTTAGTGCATAAATTACAGCACAAGAAACACGGGCAGCTCTGCTTTACTAATAGTTCAACAGCAATCATTTCAAGCATGATGGGAATAAACATGTCAGTTGTTTGTGCTGCACAAATCCAAATGCTTTCTCATGGTAATTTTAGTGCAACTATATTTGCATATTTTCAAATGTGATCTGACAGAATGTAATTGTATCTGTTTCTATGCACTGTCAGTATCTATGCTGTACGCCTGTCTGGACCGCGATTAACAAATTAACTTCACAAGTTTAAATATTAGCTACTTAAAAATCCAAAATGTAATATAGATTATATGCTTGACTGAATACAAGCGCCTCAGATTGTTTTAAACTAAAGACCTATGCTGAAATGACTGACCTTGTTTTTGGCGATCAATAAAATGGTATGAATTTCAGTTTGTTATTTTCCAAACTCCTACTTGTGTTATTTTAAAGTTTATGATGTTACTATTCACCTAAAATGAGGAAAACAGCATAAGCATTTCAATGTAACATTTTTAAACGACACTTAGAATGGATTCCACATGATTTTTGTAGCCATCACTGAATAAAGCATTGAGTTTGATCATCACGGTGGAAGCATTGATGTGGTGAAGCAGCAGACAAGAAGCCGCTGTTTAACCGCAGGAGTGCCAGTTAACTAGTGATCTATTCAAAAAGCCCACAGCATCTCACTTTGACAATCTGGACGAGTAGTGGTTCAATGCATCACAAAACTCGCGGTTCAGATCATATTGTGGTTTTTGAGTCACGGATCAGATCACTTTTCAGATCAGCAAGAAAAGAAAACATTTTATATCAATGTAACTTTGCTTTCCATTTATTACTTAAAGGAGACCCATCATGCCCCTTTTTACAAGACGTAATCCAAGTCTCACGTGTCCCCAGAATGTGTCTGTGAAGTTTCAGCTCAAAATACCCCACAGATCATTTATTATATAATTTTGAAAATGCCTATTTTGAGTGGAAGCAGAAACACGCTGTTTTAGTGCATGTCTCTTTAAATGCAAATGAGCTGCTGCTCCCCGCCCCCTTTTCCAGAATAGAGCTGTGCCTTTACAACTCGTATCTCAGATACTCTGCTAAAAACATTTGTTTGATTCTGATTATCATGTCTATCGTGCTGAAATCATGCGTTTTAAAGCCATATCAGTTTAAAGATCTGATATAGGCTTTTCTGAGCGCACACATCCGAAGCACAGAAAGCGGCTGTCACACGGCATGCGAGTACTAAACTAAGTTCTCTTTCACGTCTTATTGCACTTAAACTGTCAAATACATACAAGTTTATGTTAAAAACACACATGAACAGTCAGTAAAACAAATAACAAATGCACAAATTACAAGCAAACATAAATATAATAAAATAAGGTCAACTATTGCATTAGTATTCGGTACAGACATGTAATAAGTGTAAAATAACACTGCACAGTGTTCACTGTATAAATGAAATATAGAATAATCTGTTAAAGCTGAGTTTTGTTGTTTGATTAACATTACTGACAGACAGCAGCAGGTATTTAAAGGGCCGCTGTCCCTTTAAGACCCGATGCACCAGTCTAATATAATGATACACATATGATTTCTTTCTCAGCTGTTTTCTTTCACATAACTGACTGAGTTCACAAGAACGATGGTCGAGATGGGTGTTTTGTCATAATTTGGTGTGTACGCTCCTGTTCAAGCGCAAGGAGATGTGAAAGAGGAATCAGTTCAGTGTTCCCGTGTCACAAATTCAGCTCTCTTTCACCACTTCTTATGTTGGAATGGTTTAAAACAACTGAATGTGTAAACTGGTACAAATGACAAACTTTTATGATGGTCAAATATTGCAGTTAATCCGCGAATCACATGTGGCCCGGTCTGTAGGGATCAACTACGATCCGCTATGCACGAGTGTGGTGTTCCTCACAGATGAAACGAGTGAGTGAAGGCAAGAATTCCCAAATAAAGCTTTCGGTCATACTCAAACTTGACAGAATATATTACAGTTTATTTCTACAGCAATTTTTTTGCAATGCAATACAATCAGTAAAGCAGTTTCTTTCCCAAATTCTGTGTTTATAGATTTATTAGGGCCCTGTGATTTCAGGACTTTGCTTGCCAAGAAATATATTCAAAACCATTGTGAATCCATTAGAATCGTTAGAAGACAGAATCGCGATTCATATATGAACAGATTTTTACGTGCACCTCTAGTTTTCTCTTCCTCTTCTCTAAAGCAGTGCAGCATGGCCTCGCCCCCTTTGCTGCGTGTTCCCGGAGGCGGGGTTTATCTGGGTTTGTGACGTAACGGAATCTGATTACATTTTAAAAGATCAATTACATTGTTTTAATGCTCTCATTTGATTATCACCAATAATACATTTGTACTTCATCCAGAAACATAAAAATAAAACTGATTTCATCAAATGATAACTGGTGAAGTGACTCTCAGAGCAGCTGTGGAGATCAGCTAGATGTAGGCTTTAATATCCAGTAGCTACTATTTAGAAAGTTTGTTATGGAAACGGAACTTTAACTCCGGGTTTTGATTGTGCATGTTATCGGCCTGCTCTGCGTGTTCAAACTGTGTTCCCCAGCAACAGGCATGGCTAAAACAAACAAAGCACACTCTAAGCCAGGGGTGTCCAAACTGTGTCCTGGAGGGCCACTGTCCTGTAGAGTTTCGCTCCAGCCAGTTCCAACAGATCTGCCTGGAAGTTTCTAGTCTGCCTGGTGAGACCTTGATTAGCTGCTTCAGGTGTGTTTCATTGGGCTTGGAGCTAAGCTCGGCAGGACAAGGACCCTCCAGGACTTAGTTTGGATGCCCCTGCTCTAAGCCTACCGCTAGGCTTAACCCTCACTTTACCCGCAAGAGGTTTTCTCAAGCCTGTGCGAAAAGTGAGGCTCCGTTTCGCGCGTAAAATTTGGGCACTTATGAAAACCGCGACCAGCCCGGAGCAGTCCATCGCAGCTGCTAGCTCAGTCGGTAGGGCATGAGACTCTTAATCTCGGGGTCGTGGGTT